AGGATGCCCAGCTGAGCCTCACCAGGCATAAACCCCCCCCCACCTCCCGCCCGGATCACCCAGCCAAGGCTTGACGTTTTAAAGGGAGCCCTGAGCGCGTCGCTGCTTCCTCAGATTTGACGGAGCCCGAGAAAGGGAGAAGCGGCCAAGAGTCGCGGCGGGCACTCGCTGCCCCCTTTTTTCTTCCCTGAGCGGGCTGTACAATCCTCGGCAGTGTCCTGAGACTGTATGGTCAGCTCAGGGACGGCTCGGTTCGGAGAGCAGGCTCCTTCGGCAACCTTCGTCCTCCTGCTCCGCGTCTGAATGCGCGGAGAGAGCGCCTAGCCCGGGGCCCCTTTGGCGGCAAGGAACCTTAAGCGCGGGGAAGGCAGAAGCGGCGCAAAGGGCCAGCGAAGCCACCCAAGCCCAGCGCCTATCAAAGGCCTTCGGGGACCTTCCCACCGACTGAAGCCAGCTCCCCCCACCCCGCCGCCCCGCCGCCTGGATCTCCGTGCGCCCGGGCTGCCCTTAGCCCACCAGAGCCTTCGCCTTCCTCTCCTGCCGTTTGGGTTAAGCGACGAAGAGGGGGAAAGAGCGAAGGGGGCAGAGCAGCGGGAGCGGCAGAGGCGTCCAGGATGACAGCTGAGAAGGAAAAAAAGAGGTAAGCGGAGGGGACGAGGAGGAGACGGCAAGGATGGAGGCATCGGGACAACTGAACCAGAAGGGTAGCTTCTCTCGGCCGCCCAGTAAACTGCCCTGCTAGGTTAAAAACAACAGCCGTAAGAGCAATAAAGCCGCTCTCTGGGAGTGCAGCCGATTGGAAGGGCAAGGTCCCCGGGACGACCGTCTTACGCAGTAACGGGCTTCTGTCTTCGGGAAGGCGGCCCCTTTAAAATATTTTTGGGCTAGGAGTTGCCTTGCGCGCCGGAGGTTTCGAAATTGAAAATACTCTCCTGATTGGAAAGATACGCGCTTCGCTAGTTAACCTTTAAACGTTCCGGTAGTTCTCTAAGCAGTCGGGAAGTTTTAGGAGCCTTTGCTTGAAGGCGAGGGTTAAGCGTGTGTTGACTGTATAGAACTGAACGGACCGAAAGCTGGATCTTAACACGCTCGCTTCGTGGTTTGATGTGAGGGGAGGCGGCTTCGGAAACCTCATCGATATCAAAGAATGGAAGCGAGGTTCCTGCTTGTCTTCCATTGAGATCGATGGGGTTTCTAGGAGCTCCGTCCCGGCTGTGCCTGAACGCCGCTTCAAATTTCTTTGATAACTTATTAGTAACCTTGACTATCATTAAGCGTTGTATCTTTTTATTTTTGATGAATGTATTTTTATTCTCCTTATGTACACTGAGAGCGTAGTCACCAAAGACCAATTACTTGTGTGTCCAATCACACTTGGCCAATAAATAATTCTATTCTAATCGCCGAGTCCGAAGCATAAATGGCGTCGAGGGGAGGGGAGAAGGGGCTTTGCCCCCTACAAAGTGCGGGATCCCGTCGTCCAGTGGCTGGGCAAAGATTGGCAGAGGCGTAGAAGATGCTTCCAGCCTTACCTGCCTGCCTTCCTGCCGCGACAATTCAGGGAAGGCTCCAATCCACAGTTGGGGACCGCGCGCTGAAAGTATTTGCATTTTCGGGGCGGAAGGAGATTGGCAGGGCGCGCGCCTTTGGAAACAAAACCGCTTTTAAGGAGGGAACCGCGATTATCTAACAGTCCCTCAGGAGATGAAGAGCAAGCCTCCAGTGTTCTCAATCAGCGCTTTATTCTGATATATTAATTCTAGTCTCGCAAGGTCTAGGATAGGTCCCTAAAAGAGCATCTGGTCCACCCTTGAGACGTGAGTGATTTAATTTGTCCGGTACTTGGAAAAAGCAGAGATGATTTTATTATATTCTTTTCTGCTGGAGGAGGAAAGGTTCATTCCTGGTGATGGCAGAAGAATGCAAAATCATTTTATTCTCCTTTTACAAGGAGCTGCTGCTATTCCAGAAATTGCCATCAGTTTTTAAATGGTCCCCAATCTGAGAGAAGCTAGTCAGACATCAAAAGGTACTGAAGTTAGGATCTATTCCTTCATAAATCCATTTCTCAGCACACCACCCCCAATTTCCTAGTTTCGTGCTACAGTACCTGACAGGAAGAAAAACATGATGTCTGTAGGTTTTCTTGCTTGTCTATTCATCTATAGTCGGCTTGCTATCAATGGTTATGACTTGCCCTAGACTAGAGTAAAAAGGTGGTTTCAAAATTTTCAGGGTCAATATTGTATACATTTCTTGGCCGAAAAAGGTTTCTGAACTAGGCTCATTGGAAAAGCATTGGCCTTTCAAATGCCTCGCTCTGAGCAAAAATCTTTGTTAGTATCTCCGAATTGCACCTACGTAGTTCAGCAGGACAAGGAGAGGTCAAGGAAAGTTGGGTTTAGTAAAGGTCCAACCTGTCACCTGTTGCTTTGTGTTTTATGTGGATTGGTGTTTGGATCAGCTGACACCCACCAGGGTCTGCATAGCAGGCAACAGAATGTTTCATGCCAATTGAAGTCTGACAGCACTCATTGAAGGTAACTTTCTGCAACTTGGTGTCTTTCATTCATTGGATTACAACTCTCAGAACCCTCAACTAGTATGATCAACACAACCTGGAGGTTCTGGCTTGCATAAAGCAGCCTCAGAATGCTACAGTTTGTTTCTTGGTGCAACAAATTAAGCCAGTTCTGAAAATCAGATGGATTTGGGATTTGGGGTAAAAGTACATAGCCTCCAGAAAGGGTTACAATTAAGGGGTTTGCAATTAGGATTATGCAACATATCCCCTTCCCTAAGTCCATGTACATCAGATTATCTCCCATTCTCCCAGATTCCATTTATGTCCTTCATCTTCATTGCAAGATATTGACTATGCAGAGGAGGAATTTCAACAGCTTTTCTTCTTTAAAAAGCATTGTCTGTGAGGGTACCCTTCAACACATTATTTCCAAACTCTCCAAAGCAGTTCTGAGTTGGTTTAAAATTGCCTTTCCCTTGTTAACCTCAAACCACAGAGAATGCATTAAGCAAGCCATTAATTGATTAATAGGAAGTACCACCCTTCAACCAGTGTGTCCCCCACCCCATTGGTGGCCTGGTTTGTCTGATTCAAAATCAGAAGCTGTAAAACCACCAAGGTAGAAGCTACTATTCTTCTGATTGTTTTATTAACAATGCAGAAAATGACAGCATGAAGCCACAGTGGCTTAATTTGTGTGAGGAGGAAGAATAGCTGAGGAAACAGGTGGCAGAGTAAGGACCTTTCCTCATAGCTGTTTTGTGCCACCCATACTTGACTTGGCTGAAAACTCAGACAGTTACCAGACAGTTCTGCCACTGTGAAATCTGCTACCCCATTGTTGATCTTTATCCTGCCTCTGTTCTGACTAACCATGGAGTAAGGCTGTCCTGATTTTTTTGCATGCAGCAGATAGGTTTGGCTTCTGCATACAACCTAGGTGGTGGGAAAAAGTCACTCCAGAAAAAATGGGCAGGGTCTGAGCTGAATAAAGTGTAATTGGTTGAAGTTAGAAAAGGAACTGAATCACAAGCAGTATAATAATTAAAAAATTAAATATAATCTTTCTTTATTTGTTTTGTATACTTTGCTCAAAAAGTAACAGAGAACTATCCTATCATTTCAGTGTTATGCTGTGTTAGCCTGTTACATTATTTCTGTGCACTGTTACACCATTTTTCTATTTCATTGCTGCTCTGTTTCAAAACTCGACAAGTAGTTTTGTTTACACTTCATGGCCACTATATCTGACTCTTTTTAGAGATGGAGCAATAAGTCCAGCAGATAACCCTAATCAGGAACCAAAAGGTGAAGGGCTGGCCTGCATGTTTCTGTAACTGCCTGCCCTTCTGATCCCATTCACAACTGGCTATGACTTCATGTATGACATAATGGATGTTGAGGTGGAGCAGATTCTGCATACAATGGAGCTGTGACTGAATGTTGCTGGTTTATGGAGCAAAATACTGCTTTAACATTGACTTACCTAAGTAAGATTTAAATCTGCCTATTTTGTGTACCAGGAAAGAGGTGAAAGCACGAGCACAAAATCATTACAGAAAAACAACAATAAATGATGTTGTTTGGCAGTTTTCTGCTTGGGTAAGGTGGGGGGGGGGGAGTCCTGACAGATGGTTCTTAACCAGCTAGAAAAATTAACTCACTCCAGTATTTCTGGAAAACTGGACTCAAGTTTGTTTCATAAGGAATTATAGTTGATTTAGAAGTAAATCTGAAAACTATCCAAAATATCAGTGAATCATTTGTGCATAGAGCCAATCCTGGAGCACAGCTAAGGTATGGTTTTTTTGTCCAAACACAGTCCGAGTATTAGTTTCTTTTAAACATATTCTATTTTCTGCCACTTTGAAATATTGACTTAAAGAGCAGTATATTTTTTCTTCCCACTTCATTTTCAAAGTCTGCATTAAAATATCTTTATATTAAACTTTCAGGTTTCAGTTTTGTTTTTTTTGTTTTTTTGATACAGGTACTTATTCTTGGTGGCCCTTTCTATACTTCCAACTTGTTTGAGGTATTGTCGTCCAGATTTTATAGATGAGAACACATAATACATTAATGGCAGAGGTAGATATGAGCCATGGTTCATTGTTTAATCTAGATCATTTATACTGAATGGAGCTGGATTTGATATATTTTAACTGAATACATACCTAACTCCACATCAACCGCTGCATCATGGGTTTTTTATTTTATCATAGTGTAGTTTCATTTTTTTTCATTTTAATTCAGGGTATGATCTCTTGAAATCTAAGCACTTTGTAAATCTGCTGACAGATTGTACTATAATGGCAAAGTTAAGTTTGTGCAGGTCAGTCATAATTATAATTTAACTGGAAATAAATATTGCTGCTTTTAATGGTACTTATTCCCATCTAAATGTGAAGAGGGTAATAACATTATCTCCCAAGTCCTGAAAAACAATATTTCCCCTTAAAGTAAAAAGTGTTTTAGTTAATTTATGTCAATCGTTGCCTGTCATTCTTCTAAGACAGTGTTTCTCAACCTTGGCAACTTGAAGATGTCCGGACTTCAACTCCCAGAATTCCCCAGCCAGCATTCGCTGGCTGGGGAATTCTGGGAGTTGAAGTCCAGACATCTTCAAGTTGCCAAGGTTGAGAAACACTGTCCTAAGAGAATGGACACTGAGATTCTCTGGCTCACATTAAGTTCTGATTGTTATTCTTACAAGTTCTGGGAGGATGAGGAGATGGAATGAACCAGTTTCATTGTATTTACCAGCACTTTACATAAAATAAAGTTTTAAAAAACGATGTGGCTCCTTCTTTAGAAAGGAAGTTGGCTAAATGAATATATTGTCATTGTCTAATAAATATATGATTAATACTTTTGAGAAGAGGGAAATTTCCCCCTGATAATTACTGATGGATACGATAAGTCAAGACAAAGCACTTTTGAGCTGCACTAATTCCAAAAAGAGGTTTAAAATGGAAACATATTCTTTCTTTTTGAAATTAAGATAGATATACTTGTGCTGCACTAGGAACAATTATTTTTTTACAATAATTTCACATTGTAAGCAAAATTTAAATTGCAAATGATCTCTGCTGTGATATCCTGTCTTTTTATATAGT